CTAACCGTCTAAAGCTAATGGTCTAAAGCTAACCGTCTAAAGCTAACGGCCTAAAGCTAATGGCCTAAAGCTAACGGCCTAAAGCTAACGGCCTAAAGCTAACAGGCTAAAGCTAACGGTCTAAAGCTAACAGGCTAAAACTAATGGTCTAAAGCTAACGGCCTAAAGCTAACCGTCTAAAGCTAACGGTCTAAAGCTAACGGTCTAAAGCTAACGGTCTAAAGCTGACGAGCTAAAGCTTACGGTCTAATCTAAGCACTTCGGTAACAGTTTCTGTTTTTAATGTGCTCTATAAATAAATCTGACTTGACTAAAGCTATGACTAACCCATCAAAAGCTTCTAATACCACGGCATCAAAATTTGGACTTCACCAAATCGTAATCTGAGCACAAGCGTCACATCAATTGTATGTGAAGGGGACGTGTGCCCCCCCGAATTTAAATTATATTCATTAGGACCCCCCCCCCCTCCACACACACACACATTCACCATGAAACATTAGTTCAGTCGGCGCAGTTTATTTTTCTTCGTGAATGAATCCATTCCACTTGATTAACTGGAGAATACTCAAACCACTAAAAGTCCACTCCAGGTTTTCCTTGTTACCTTGACTTGGCAGGGCGCTCATCTCTGAGGGTTTTTTCTTTTGTTTATCGATGGAGTGGGGGAGGAGCTTAGTGCTACGTTAGTGCTGGCATTTGTGGGGGTGGGGGGGGACGGCTGTTGGTCAGGCCACTCCCTCTGAAATAGTTATTGAATCAAGTGTTTACTTATGTAAACATAATGTTTAACATCACGTAAAAAAAAAGAATGCAGGAAACTGCATCTACTTTATTCAAATATTCTGGGGGAGGACCCCAGACCCCCCACCAGTGTGCCCCCATCATCATCTGCTGCAACCATCATCAGCTGCAGCAGCTCACGATGGCTGCTGCAGCCATCGTGAGCTGCTGCAGCCATCGTGAACTGAAAAAGCTCCTGACCATACAGATATATGAACTTCCTGCTTGTGTTTATTCAAATGAGCAAAACAACATCAAGTCTTATAAAATGCATTTATTTAGTCTCAAGTAATGAAAATAAAACAGTAAAACGTCAGATTTGTTCTCAGAGCAGCGTTTCCTGCTCGTCTTGTTCAAGTAGTGCAACGTCTGACAGAAGTGAACATTCGTGCACGATGCAGCCGCAGCATCATTCTGATCATTAACCGTTAAAATGAGTTTATTGTTCGTACAAACGTTTCCATCTGCGTCTTGGAGGAGCGTGTGCGCTCCTCATCCCTCCTGGTGTGTTGCTGAAGACACGGCCGTTCAAAACGTTTGTTCACATAAAAAGAAGACGGGACTGTTGAAGATGTTCTGTCACCTGAGGAGCTCTCTCATGGCCGGTCTGTCCACACGAGAATGAGTTTTAGAAAAACACAACGGTTGTTTTTTGTTTCAGTGTGCCACCCTTGTGTTTTGGTGTAGACGGTTAAAATGCAATTTTTTTTAAAACAACGTGGAGCCAGAGGGGGGATAAGAATAATCTCCCACCCCTCCAGTTATAGGACATTTAAAGGGATCTCAGAGTGTTATGGAAAATTCAAACTCCAATCTTTAGAGTTTAAGAACTCACTGAGCAGATTTTGCGGGTCTTCACGATAACAGTTTTTCATGGTTGTCGTAAAATGAGACAACAACCAACAAACACACATCAAAGGCAACAAGCAGGAACTAATTTCATTTTTGCAGCCACCTGTGTGAAAAATGGTCCCAGTTTGGCCAACACACTGTCTGCCTCCACCTTTGCTCAGGCCTTCTGCACATGCTCCACGCCTTGTTTCCTGTTTCTGGTGTATTTAAGTGGCAGTGTTACAGTGCCACCTTCAGGCCTGGCATAGTTACTGCAGCGTTTGCTGCGTACCCATGTGGATGAAAACATTTACAGTCGTGTTCAGGAGGAAAAGACTCTTTTAGAACGACAAAGTTCTCGTGTGGACAGAGCTCTTATTGTCATTTTTAGGAATGTTGCATATAGGCCTGTGGCGATAAACAATAAATCAATTAATCGCATGATAAATGAAAATTATCAACCTCTTTTTCATTTATCAGCCTTATCGTTTCTTCGTGTCTCTCTCTTTCTACTGAAGACACTGGATGAAAAAAGACTCAACTCCGGTTCTTCACTGACCCCTCCCTTTCTCTTTTCTCTTTAAAATCTGGTTTAACCGTCCAAAATCACATTTTTGGATCGTTAAAAGCAGCTAAGCTGAGAAGCTTAACCTGATTAACCTGTCTAAATAAAGGTTGAATGGAGAAAAGAATCTAAGCTATGAGCTAAGCTAACAGGCCAACCTTGGGGAAAATAACTCAGTTTTGTTGAAGCTCCAAAATTCACGGTTTAAACCCGTGCCTTTGTGTAAAAAGTTTTTCTCTGCAAAAAGAAGCTGAGAACTTGTTTACTGATTTTTTTCATTAAAAGCTTTGTGTGAAAAATACTAAAGAGCTCAAACCACATCGAGCGTCCGCCATTTTGAGAACCAAAGAGAGACAGCCCATGTCACGTCAAGGGGCCTCCCTCTCATTTTTCTTAAAGAGACATGCTGCTCGCTCCCTCACTATCCATCCATCAGTTCAAATAGTCTTGTACTGCCACCCAGTGGTCAAAGAAAGGTACTACACTCAAAAATTAACAATTTTTTCTTAAATTTGACAATAATTACTACCGTATTTTTTGGCCTATAAGTCACAGTTTTTTGCATAATTTACACGCCCTGCGACTTATAGGCCGAAGCGACATAGTTATGGCTTTTTTCCCATATTTATAAACCATTTTTTGTCTGAATAATGACCGTTTTCACTCCTTCTGACCGAAAAAAAAAGAGCAGTACCACTTTCAGCCACTTGATGGCAGCAGAGTAGAAATAGTTGTATGGCATGCTGTTGTATCTTGTAATAGGTAAACGTGGCTATAATGACAAATTCAAAAAAGTTCAGGACAAAAACAAATGGACTTTATATATTATATTTTATTGTTTTTTTTTCCTGAACTTTTTAGAATTTACCATGTCCTGGATGACTGAGAATCTTCACCAGCTTTTAATGACTCAATCGTCCTGCCGTATTTATGGATTTTTCCACTTTATTAGACAAATGTGGACTGATGTAACTTATAGGGCGGTGCGATATGTACGCTGGAAAATATGGTAATTATTGTCAAATTTCAAACAATATTATCGTTTATCGCTATAATTTTTGAGACAATTAATTGCGCAGCAAAATTTGTTATCGTGACAGGCCTAGGTGCACAGAGACACAACTGACTCACCAATGTGTGTGTCAGTAAGCAAATGTGTTGAAAATGTGTCTTTTTTCCTCACGTCCCAACTTTTTAAAGATAACCGTGAACACCCAACACCTCACCGGGCTGAGACGACCGGCGACAGACGACTAACAGTTTCAGCAAATTAGGTTCCAAAATGTCTCAAAGCATTTGCAAATGTTCTCATTTTCCTGATATGAGTTGTGGGAATTTTAAATGTTTGCATTTTTTTCCGAACTGTTAAAGTAAAAATAGATACGCGGAATGTGGATTTGTAGTTGCTGTGGTTGCAAAGTCCTGAGCAAGTTTTGTCAAGAGTTTGTGAGAATGTGTACTGACAAACAAAAATTTGTGTATTTTCTCACAAGTTTGTGTGAGCTGCCACCTTCACAAGGGAGGTAGGGTGAGGTCTGATCTGCATGTGAGTTCAGCTGAAATAATCAGCTGAAAGAGTGAAAAGACTGAACTGAGAAAGCTCCTCAGACAATAAAGTATCTTCTAAAATGAAAAGTCCAGCAGTGGGTTCTGTTGATGCGTTTCCACGGTGACGGCAACATCGAGTCCTCTCGTTATGAACCACCTCGGTGCTGCGCCTTCTACTCAACCTTACTGTTCAGAAAAAACATTTACACAAACATTCATAGAGCGGTCGAGCCGTGTCTAGATTCTGGCTTCCAACAAACGTGTGGACATTTGCGCCAGTTTTGGTGAACGGCGCTGGTCTCGAGGAGCTCAACGCCAGCCTCGACGCCTCCTGTCTTGTAAATTCATGTGAAAATCGTGGCGCTGCCGGCACAGACGAGCAGCCACCTGCACATTCTCGGTCTGTCAGCAGCATTATCACTGAACCACCTCGAAGCTGGAGCGGACACGAGGAGTTCGCTTTGGTCTTGCACAGGTGAGATTCCTGGCCAAGCAGGTCGAGCTCCATAAAGCCCAGAATGCTTCGGCAGAACCGATCCTCGAGCTCTCTGCTGTTCTAGGACGGAGAGGCAGCAGGTTGAAAACTATATTCCTTCTGAACTGCTTCCAGCTCTGCTAACATTTGAGGTGTTTTTTGCTGGTCATGTCGTTCCAGATGCGGTGCATCTCCTCTGGGGAGATCTGGTGGACTGTGACCACCCGGCGGTAGCGGCAGAGACTGTAGGCCATCTTCCAGTGGTTGAAGCCACTGTTCTGGAAGGGGTGGATGCCTAACTTACGGAGGCACACACCCACATACACATCCTCCAGGTGCAGCAGCCTGGTGTGTAAGGATATCTTGTATATGAGCTCAGCCACGTCTGCAGAGAAGACGTAGCCGGTGCCGGAGCAGAAGGGGGGGTACTTGCTCTCTGGATAGAGGTCCCTGGGCATGTACCACTTGCTCCGCATGTCTCTGATCGGGCCACCATTGATGACGTAGCCTGTAAAATACCTCCTCCTGGGCTTGGTGGTGGGCTTCAGGAGGTTGTAGATGAGGTTCTCCATGTTGACGAAGATGTCACTGTCTGTCTTAAGAACATATTGTGACTTTGAGCAGAAGGTGGCCACCCAGCGCATGCCCATCATTGTCTTCAGGGTCAGGTTGTGGTACGAGTCAATGAAATCCTCCACCACAATGTCATGGAAGATCTGACTCTCCTGTTCCACCATCTGGTTGAGGACAGTGTCTGTGCTTTGGCCCAACAGGAACAGCGTGACCACGCGAACATCCGGAAATGTGGTCTCATCCCCCCACGTCTCCCTGATGGCCTGACGGGCGTCGAACTCCTTGTGGGTGGTGCTGATCAGGATGACAAGGAAAGGAGGGTCGGCCTCGCACTTCTTGGCTTCATTGATGAGGTAGCCAAAGTCGTGAGGGTTGAGCGAGCGCGAGCGGATGTTGGCGAGCGTGGCGTTCTTGACCGCTTTGGGGGCCTTGCGTATCGGGACAGACATCTGGCCTACAAACGAAGAGGAAGGGCGGGACACGCTGAGGTACCACAGAGCGCTGGCCCAGCATACCACCGTCAGCAAGTACAAGCAGGAGACCTTCGAAGGCATTGCTCGTCACTCGGCTGGTGTTACCAGCAGCAACGGTGTCCGAAACATCGAGGCCGCTCCTCCATGGGGCGCGTTAGATCCGGTGGCGCCGCTTGAGGCTGCCTCTGCAACGCCGCTAACATTAACATCAGATAATGGACTCCTCCAACGTCTACTGCTGGGCCGTTGATTGAAACGAAGCCCTGGGGTGATTTCCTGTCGTGTTTGTGGCCTTACAGGGTTTCATTGCAGCTCGTGGAGAAGCTTTCATTTCTCCTCGATGGCATCTGAAAATAAAAAGAGAAAAACAGAAAACATCAGGACTACATAATGAGAGCAGAACGATGAGCTCATTGATTGATGGACCACAGCGCAGCCTGGATTTTATATTCTTTAGGAGGTGTTTATATCGGCAAGGCGCCACGCGACATATTTAACTCCTTTTATTCCTTCTTTCATTACAGCCTGTTATCGGACTGCTCTGTTTGTGATTGCTGTTTATCTCTTCCTCATCCCTCCTGGACCAGAGCTTGAGATAAAGAGGAGGAGGAGGTGACACCATCTCCTGGGAAATGAAAAATATCCACTTCCTGTTCAAGCGTCTCACTCAGACTCTCCGCAGCCGAATGTCAGACTGAGCTCAGCTGCTAACCCTTTTTTATCTCTGTGTTCTGTTAGTAAAATAAAACCTGTGCTGAGAAGCAGCGTGTCGACTTGATGAAAAATGTTCAGGATCCACAGAACTCAGAAACACATTCATCGTCCATCTCCAGATTAGGTGTCAGTCTGGAACGGACGGGCGTGATGGACGAGCGGCGGCTCGGTGTCTGAGCGCCAACGAAACACAGAGCAGACGTTCCTTTGCTCCAGATCTGCTGTAATCTCCTCTGATGTGACAGCAGCTCTGAATGTTCGTACTGATTGAGCTCGGCGCTGATAAAACACTCAGAACGATCCGGGTAGAGATAGTGACACGTGGTGGCGCGATAAGAGCAGCTCGTTCTTTCATCACGTCGTAGATTTGCCGAGGCTCGTGGCACCAGCGGCTCTTTCCTTCACAACTTTTCTCTTATTATCTCTTCTTCGTCGTTGCGAGGCAGCGCCATCAATCTTATGGTCCAATAGACACCCCCTCCCCCCCCTTGTCCTCCATCACTCTGTCTCTTCTTCAGTAGAGGCTCGATCCATCTTTAGACGTCTCGCTGCCGTTCAGTGGTCTCCCCCACCGTCTTGTTTCTTTACTCGTGTCCCTGGAAACTTACTGCCCCCCACCCCGTGCCCCCCAGGTCCTCTCTTCTTTAGGGAGGAGGGAGGATTCTTCTTTCACGGCACGTTTCTAACTTATTGACAGCTTCCACTGCAACAGTCTCGACCTTGTTCCTCTTCCTGCTGGACATTGGCTTGTGTTTGCCTTGAGGGGGTGGGGGTGGGGGGATTCGCTGGAGTCAGAAATCTGAAAAACGCACCTCACCTTCATTTCCTGAGCTCTCTGGGACCAGAATCCTCCTCTGATTGAAATCACGAGACAGTTTTCATGAATGAGCTCAGCAGAAAGTGTTTCACCAGGATGTCAAGGCTGGAGGCGGCTGATTTTAGCCGTTAGCTTACGAGCTGCGGTAACTCGTGGTCGGACCACCGGTTCAGCTGCGTCGTGAAGGCCTTCTTATTGACCATCACAGATTTGAGTTTAGGATCATAAAACTGACTCCGCCTCTTTCCAGTCTGGATTTAAGAAGAGAAAACTCAACGCAACGATAAATGTCCTGATTCCAGCTAACACAACCAGTGCTACAGATGTTACAGATGTTGAGCTGACGTTTGGTGCGGTGGTAGTTGAGAGTGATCCTCAGCACGTGCTCTGAGCTAACAGGTCAGGTGACATTTCCAGTGTGGTTTTTATCCCAGTCATTTCAAAGCTGCAGTAAAACAAGGACTCGTCAGTTAACGATTGTGCGACGCTCGTTATCTGATCCTAACGAGGTCAAGTCGTGTCCTCTGATTATTTATGGCTGTGGTTGTGAGTCAGCGGAGGAAAGACACAAAGTGTGAATGAGACAAACATGGCCGACACATCAGAAGGTGGAATCAGACTCAGGTCTCTGGGTGGACATCCCTCCCGCACCCCCGGCTGTATTACAGATGTAATGACGGGCAGAGGAGACATGAGCCAACAGCCTCCATCAGCGTCAGAACCTTCATTCTTTACGGCGCCGTGAACGATGTGCTGAAGGAGGCGTGTATCCTCACTGAGGAGGAGGAGGAACGTGACTACAGCAGTTTAGAAATACGTACAGTGTTGGAAGATCAGCCGTTACAGAACGAACGGCCTCCTCCAGGAGCCAGACGGTCTTTAACCAGCTGAAGGCTGCAGGATCGGATGTGAAGAAGCAGCTTCAGCTGTTTTCCTTCAGAATCAGCTGAAGCTTTTGTCAGGTTGCTGACAGTTTGGGCTCAGAGTCTTCACGGGAGAACACGGGAGGACACTGAATTATTTCGCTTCTCTTTTCTGCACCAACGTTCAGGAGGAGAACTAACAGCTCAGATCGGCTTGTGTCCCATCTACAGAATTAAAACGTCACGCTTTAACTCTGCTTTGTCTCCGGCACAATAAAAAAGACTCAACGTTTGTTGAAGAGCAGCACCACCAGCCGTATAATCAGTCCTTCGCCCACAGGCGGGATGCTCTGGGCTTACCGCAAAGCCTCTGAATGCAAAGGAGCTTAGGCGCGACAGAGGAAATGGAATATCGATAGAAGCCAACGGATTTGGCTGAAGTACAGAGGGCCGGTGCTCCATCCTCACTTCTGTTCCGACAGGGCGCATCGGTCTGCAGCCAAACCCAGACAATAAGAACCGAAGGAGTCCTCAAAGGTCTGGGGGGTGTCTGAAACTTGGAGTGTTTACGATCTCCCACAACCCTCAGAGGACTGGTACTGCTCAATGAGGAACAACAACTTTATCCCACGGAGATGAGAGACATTTATATTTCAGGACATGTCAGTTGGGTCGTTACCTGATCAGGATTTAGCTGCACAAGGCTCGGGCCGGCTCCCCACGACCGTCAGACCAGTGTCCTGAAAGCTAGCCCTGCCTGGAAACTGTACCACAGCTTGATTTATGGCTGTGATGTGTGTCACAGCCCGGAGACGTTGAACTTCCCCAATATGTTCGATCGGAGCTGCATTGGGGAGAGACGCTCTAAGATGACTCATGGTGCACCCAGGAGCGCTCCAAGAACCAGAGACACGTCTGCTGAGCACAGACTGGTCTGCGGTGGCTGTCACGCATCCAGGTGCTCAACCTGAGGTCACCTGTGTGGTAAGTTCTAACAGAACCAAGAGAGGAACTGCACACCTGTAGCAGATCGATTGACCACGCCGTCAACCCCAAATCAACACCTCCCTCCAGCCCGTAGCTCCATGAACACCTTCATGAAGGTGAGGCGCACCCCAAACGAAGGTGCACCTACAAGAGCCTCACTAGTTGCAGTACTAAACATGTTTTATTGTCTCAACAATGTCCAGTTTGGTTCTGATGTTCTCCCATAGAGTTACTTTCCTTTCCAAACATTAGAAAAGCTTGTTGCAGGTTGGACCAGTACACTCCAACAGCATACAAGCATTTTACCGTTAAGCGTTTATGGAAGAGGAATCGGCGACAAACAATGACGATGGACTTCGATGTCTCATTGGCAGAGGGTTTTTTCAGATTCTACAATTAGGCAGCATGGTGGCTCAGTGGTTAGCACTGTTGTCTCACAGCAAGAAGGTCCTGGGTTCAATCCCCAGTTTGGACCTTGAGCAATAATCACAGAGAACGGTGGACTTTGGGTTAAAAAGGTCCATCAAAGTAAAACAAAGTTTTTTTCTTTATGTCAACGATCACGTTTCATTTGAGGCAACGGATGAACATCAAAAGATCGTTGGGGTGTGGAACGTTGCAGATAATTTAAGTGTTTTTTAGTTTGACTAACATTTAATTATACACAGTCTTAATATTGCCTGAGGAAAAAACAAGAAATAAAAGTATATTGTTGCTAATTTCAGGAAGTTTAGTCGGACGGATGTGAAACCATAAATATGTGAATATTCTTTAATTATGAGGTGAAATTAAACCAGCAGCAGTTTCAGCTCCTTCACAGGTTTTCAGCTTGAGAAGTTGTTTTCTTAGTAATTATGTTTTTAATAACTTTAATCTCCACTTTGACGGAATGTCTCAGTGTAGATGAAACATAAAAAGGGCTTGATGAGCTCACTTTAGAAGACTTTGTAGCTTTCCTGTTTTACTCCTGTTCTTTTTAATATTTTACTTCAAAATTAAAGTAATGAAGGACTGACAGCTGGAGAGACATTTACTATGTAACAAACAGTACTTGAAGTGGTCCTGAGGCGGACTGGAGACCTGTCCAGGTGTCCCTGTGATGGACTGGAGACCTGTCCAGGTGATTCTGTATCTGAACTTCCACAAAATCAAGTTTGTACATTGTTACAACAAAGTACTTCCTGTGCACAGTACTGTGCAGTTACAGTAAAGATACACAGAGTAGATGAAAGGGAGCAGCTCATCAGAGGATCCATGATTAGCAGAACACATCTGTTCCAGACAGGAAACAGCCTCTAACTGACCCGTTACACCATCTGGACAGTGCCGATGGGGGAGGAGCGAGAACGTGCACAGCACCACTTCACCACTGTGCCGACTCCGAGCGAGGACTTATCAGGACCAGAATCTGACTCACAGGAACACCACGACTCGGTTCTCCTACAGCGCTCGGACAACATCTGTTCAGATAACACGAGGACACACACAGACAGACACACAGAGACACACACAGACAGACACACAG